AGTTTTTTAATAATTTTAAAAAATTTTCTTAACAAAGCTAATAAAACAAATCTCAAATTAAATATTTTACTTAAAAAGATATAGCTAAAATTAATATTTAAAATTTTATTAAAATATTTTAAAATTTAAAAAAGTTTGCAGGCAAATTTGGCTGCAAAACAATTTAAGAAATAAGTTTCGTAATATTGCTTAATATATTTCGTAATATTACGTTATATATTGTACAATATTTCACAATTTATTATGCAATATTGTGCCCAGACTATAATTATTATACAATATTTTGGGGTGTAATAATTTGTATAAGTTTACGTTAATATATTTCACTAATATACTCTACAAAAGCAGCATATATTAAATAGTGTGCAATATAGAAAGCCGAGAAAGTGCATTGAGAAAGAGCTGGTCAGTACAGTTAGGGCAAGGTAGAATATACAGAACAACACTAGGCAAATTCAACTATACAGAGTTAGAAGAAAGAAACAGATTTAAAAGTATAATTTATAATGTTCTAAAAACTGCATATGACAGCTTACTCTTATACCAACTAAAAAAGTACAAGGTACAGACAGTCTACACTCTAGAGAATCAGCATGATAATCGCAACAAAAAAGCGTATATATATTTTAAATCTAGAGAAGATATGATACAAGCCCAAGATGCAGGCCTTTACTATTTTAACACTAGACTAGAATGGAAGATATTGGCAAAGGAATATAAGAGAGGAAGCTGTATAGGAAATCAGCTCTACAAAGAAAACTTATCTGCAAAATCTACTAGCCACAAAAAGGGAAAAGAGAGAGAAAAAATAGAAGAGTTTAGCAGTACAAAAGCCAAAAAGAAAAAAGAAGACCTAGCTGCAATAGGCGAAGAAGAAAGAAAGCCCAAAGTTAACAAGTTTTTTGTACAAAGAATTAACAAAAACACAGTAAAATTAGCAAAGTATAGCAGCCTATCATTAAAGAAAGAGTATAGAAAAAAAAACTGGCCGCCCAGAAGCCAAAAGAAAACAAAACCTACAAATAATTTAGACCTTGAAAGCAACAACTCAATTCACAACATGTTGTTGCAAATTTTAGAAAACTTGAAAATCAAAAAGGGCCCTTAGCAGGCGGCACCTTAGCCTATTGCTTCTAAGAGCGCCAAAGGTGCATTAAACAATCACTCTGGACCTCAAAAGGGTAAAGAAAGGGAGCCATTAGAAGAAGATTCAGAGAGAAGGCTTCCAGATACAACAAGAGAAAAAGTTGCGATATATGAACAATTTGGGGTATTAAATATTGGGTTTCATAATATTAATAGGATAAAAAACAACAAAAACAAGCTGAGAGTAGTAATAGATTTTGCAGAAGAGAAGAAAATAGACATTTTGGGTTTAGGAGAAACCAACATTAATAACATAGAAGGCACTTTTGCAACGAAAGATGCAAAGGTATATAAAAGCTTTTGGGCAAGCTCAGAAGAGGGTAAAAAAAAAAAATCAGGCCTGGGGATGCTAATCAAAAAATATTAGAAACAACATATTATGCATATAGTGCGGGACAACCCATACTTTTTAAAGCTAAGTCTGGACTTTAAAGGTCTGGTGATAATCATAATCTTTTTGTACGTTGTCCCAAATAACAAGACAAGACAAAAATAGATTTTGCATATGCTCAGAGATACATTAACAGAAAGCTACAGTGGTTTATAATATTAGGAGATCTCAATATTATTACGCCAGACCCGGCAGATAGCAAAGTAGAAGGTACAAGTACCAAGTCCAAGTTAAAACAACAAATTGTAGCACTCCTAAAAGAGAAGAATATATACAATATGCAAGATTTGGCCTGTACTCCAACCTGGTCAAACAAAACAGCAGAAACTAGAAATGACTATATATGGGTATCAGATAGATAGAAAAGCAGTATAATTAATACCAAAGTTGACTATATAAATCTCTGCACTATGAGCGATCACAAACTAATAAGAGCAAACATTGTTACAGAACTCGAAATAAGAAAAACAGGGGCAGCTAAAAGAAAATGAGAAAACAGAAAAAGAGTCAATCTAGATTTAAGTAAGGTCTCTAAAGAGGATTGGATCCAGTATAGAGAAAGCCTCAAAAAGAAGATAAAAGACTATTGAAACAAGTACAAACCCAAGAACATAGATAAGAAGTGGGATATAATTGAAGAATGCATCAGAGCAGTGGCAAACTTATGTCTTCTAAAAAAGGAAAAATCGCCAGAAATCCTTAAAATTAGCAGAGAAAGTGATGAAGTAAAAGCTTGTAACAAAGGTTACCGTAAAGCAAAGAAAGATCCACTACAAGACAGTCAAAAACAACATATTTAGTGCATTGGGAAAGGTTAATACCATGCTGGGTAATAATATAGAAGATTAAATAGACGTACTAAGCTCAGAGAGTCTTAAAATCTGAGCAAAAATACTGCACAAGGAGTGGTATAAAAGAATTAGAAGTATAGAAGAAGCAGAAATTAAAAAAAGTATAGAGGAAAGGCATAGTATAATCATTACCAACTAAAGAAAAATGCTTAATAGCCTTCTAGACCAACTGCACAGAAAAATCAAAATAGATAGAGTAGTTAAAAAGGCAGAAGACAAAGCAGAACTAATTTATGAGCCAAAAGATGTATTAAAGGAGGTTAAAGAACATTTCGAAAAGCAATTTCATACAAAGAATACAGTACAGTTAGAGGTTATGCTAGCAAGATAGAGAAACCAGTACGTCCTTGAGAAGATGTCAATAAGTCTTGGTATAAAGATATCACAAATAAAATTAGTCCAGCTGAATGAGAGCAGATCAAAACCAAGTCAGCTCCAGGAGGAATAGGTATCACATATTTACTAATAAGAAACGCAAGTTCTAATACAAGAAATATCTTCCTCGACTTTGCTTTTAGGTATATAGAAAAAGATACTATACTAAAAAAGTGGAAGCTAGGTATCTTGTACCCAATACTCAAGATAGAAGACTAGTGTTACAACTTAAACAATGTGCGACTAATCTTATTGTTGAAATCATTTCAGAAAACGGTTATAAGAGTAATCATGAATAGGCTAGCAAAAATTCTTAGCAAAAAAAAAATACTAAAAGGTAGAAATTTCGTGGGCCTTCCAAAAGAGGGCATAGCTGCATCAATGCATCTCATTAACTGCTTAGTGGAGGAAGCGAAGGAAAAAAAGAAGGAAATATAGCTCTTATTTCAGGATATAAAGAAGACATTTGACTTCATAAGGCTAAAAATGCTTACAATGACATTGCAACAAATTAAAATCTCAGAGCCACTAACACATTTTATTATAAACCTCTTCAACAACCATGAAATGGAAGTTCTAACAAGCCTAGGAACCACCCAAAGATTTATAGCAGATGATTAAGGAGAAGTAATCTTCTTTCTCGTATAGAGGATATTCTATGACCCCCTGCTAACAAAAATTCAAGAAAACAAAAGGCTTGGTTATGAACTTGAGGTAAACTAGCCAAGCGATCTAAGTAGAAATTATATATGGCAACAAAGCTTAAGAATTCCTGTAATTGTATACGCTGATGACACAACTTTCATAGTATCTAGCAAGGAAGAACTAAAAGAAATAATCAGCATAGCACAAGAGTTTTATAAAATAAACGATATCAAAATTAATAGCAAAAAATTAAAGCTGCTTATAATAGATAGAAGGAAAATAAAGGAGCCTAGATATATAGAATTTGGCACACCAAAAGCAAAAGTGTTCGAAAAGAAAGCAAGCAAGCTAACAAAATTTCCCAGTATTTGGCTATCCAAAAAACATAATCAGTCACATATTAAAAGTATTGCAAAGAAAAAAATACAAGCAATCAGTACAGCATCTATAAGAAGAACACCTCATTAGCACAACTTGTCTACATCAACAATAAAATACTTATTCCAAGATTGGAGTACCATTTACAACATTGTATAATCTCAAGAGAGCAGTATGACAAACTCCAAAGCCCCATTCTAAAGCTAGTTAAAAATAAATTTGGCCTAGCCAGCACTATAGCAAATGCTATCTTGGTACACAAAAATATAGTCAGTCTTAAAACAATATAGCAAAACCAGATGGCCCATCACATCACAGAGCTAAGAAAACATATAAACAAGAATAATGAAATTGGCAAAGCTACTTGGATCAGAATCCAGCAAGTATAAATAGACTGTAAAAGCACTCAGTGTATAACAAGCCTAGACTCAGCAAGACTAAAGAAGGTTAAGCTCAAGCAAAACCTCGCATATAAAATCCTGAGTAAAGTAAAAAACATAAATATAAGTATAAGATCTAGAGAAAAAGAAGAAAGTTTAAAGCTTACAGAAGTTAAATCAGAAATTATTAGTTTTTTAGATAAAAAAACAATCAAAGGCTTCGTACAAAAAAAAGAAACAGATATCCTGGTGATAGATACAGCACAGAGAAGAAAATGCTCACTTGGGGCCAGATTAAAAAACACAAGAGACAAAAAGCAAGAGGTAAAGCTCTATTATGAGTTAAAAAGCTAGAGGAAAAAATAATCGAAAACCCAATTAGCAGAGAAATCAAAGTAGAGCTTAGAACCAAGACACCTAATTGCCTGTCCCCCAAAATAGATTTATTACCAATAAGTAACAATAAAAGAAAAAAAGAATGTGTACTCCTCAAGATCAAAAACAAGACAGCTATAGGGAAAATCGCAAAGGAAAAAGGGAAAAAAACCATTGTGGTAAAACACTAGAAATATACAGAGGATTCGCAAGATTTAACAATCAAATTGGTTAAATGTGGAGGTTGCGAATTTAACTCAACGAAGCGTGCAGAAGATGGAATCTCTTGTATGAAAAGGCTAAAGAAAAACAAAATTCAGAGAATCCTCCTGAAGATAATACAAAAGGTATCTGCTCAAGACCAGATATAAAAATTAGTTACTCCACTTAGTTGTGTTTTAGATACACTGCAGCAATTTAAGAAAGGTCTAAATATAGTGAGAAGCATACAAGAATCTTCAGTTAAGAATATACCTATATATCTACTAGAAGAAGAGATCATAAATTAAGTTTTCAAAGATATACAAGTTATAAATAAGATTAAAGAGGTAGCATCTCAGTTAAGAGGGAGAAGACAAATTACGTTCTATACAAATGGCTTGTTGCTCAACTTAGCAGAAGAATCAGAGAAAAAGAAAATAGGTCTGGGCTGGGTTGCTATTTCTGCAGGCTAATCCAAAATACATAAGACAAATTCCAGAGTGCTATTAAGGATTGGCCATCATCTACAAGAGCCAAACTAGGTGCAATATGGACAGCCCTTCTAGCAGCTCTGTACAAATTAGCAGTTAAAATACTAACTGATAGCACAGCCGCAATATAGGCAATTTAAGCAAGCCTAAGCTCAAAAAGGTCATATGATGTAGTTAAAAGGAAAAATCAAAGCCTCCTGAAGCAAATACAGCATATAGTTAAGTTAAAAGAGCTGCAAATTAGATTAGAAAAGGTTAAAGCACATAGTAGAATAAAAGAAAATGATGAAGCAAATATACTTGCAAAAGAAGGTACTCTGTATTCTATACCTATCACCCCTAAATGGCCATGGAATAAACGAGCAATATTCGAACTTAAATAGAAAAGCCTAAAAGTAGATGATACAACAAGAAGCTTTATCACACAACTGATCACAATTAGTATCGACACAGAGTAGAAAAACCTAAAAAGTATAAACAATTGGGTAGAAACTAAGCAAGACACAAATGTAATTGATTGGAAAGAGATTTAGAGCAATATAGGTCAATTAAAGGCAATAACTGCAGAAGCTGCGAAGTAAACAAGAAATGGATGTTCAAAGTCAAGTATCTAAACAATCTCTTGCCAACAATGCAAACACTACATCAAAGAAGAGCAGATATCTACACAGATAACAAATGCAAGATATGCTGGGAATTTAAAACTGAAACACAAGATTATTTGGCAGAATGTTTAGAACTACAATAACTCTGGAGTATTATTAAAGCGAAGAAAATTATCCTATTTAAAGAAAAGGCCAAGAAGGAAAAAGCAGATCTTAAAATCTTAGAC